AGCCAAGCCAACTTTCCCTGCATGCAGAGAGAGCTCCACAACTGTTCCACACTGCTCTGTTAGCTCATTGTGGGAGGACACCGGATTGTCACAGAAAACTGCGAGAATACCATACAGTGTGGTGGAATGATTTCTTTTGTCCATTTTCATGAAGGTCAGTATTTCAAAGGTCAGGCCATCGTTCGAATATGTCACTACATCTTGCTAATACCACTAGTTGGCTGGGGGAAGTCGCATGAAATGGACAGTAAAAATGCTGTGCACATGATAGCAGATTTAGGCAGGGATGAGGAGAATGGAGAAAACAAGAGAGAAGAAAAGAGAAATACATTTTAAGAGATAGACAAAAAACTAAGAATGGAAGTGAGAGGAAGAATGAGAACATCATGGGGGAAAATACAGAGGAGTGGGGTTACAAAGGTACACTGTATTCCTGGGTGAAACCATCATTACTATGAGCAATGGTAGCAGTCACCGGCCATTACCTTTGCCATCCACTGTCATAAGCAGAACATTTTTCCAGCCTGCCCTGCATGTCAGGGGATAAGGTGAGCAGCCTCCTGCATGCTGAACATGCTTTCTCTGTTTTCTCCCTACATGTGCTGTAGACTTAGACAACACTCACTAGGTGGCTACTTCATCATCAGAGGAAGGGACCTGTCGATAGCCTGTGGATGTGATCAATAAGGTCTCTCAGAGCTTCCCCCTTCTCATCCTTTTCATCCCTCCTTGTCCCCTTTCATCTTCCATCCCATAATGTGAAAAGGATCAGTGAAATACGATGATAAGAGGCGCTGTTTGTCCTCGTAAATCTGTCCAATAATTTTCTGTACTCTAAGGTGAACTGTCTGAGATGATTCCCACTCACTACGAGGCTGGTATAGAGTATGACTGTGCGGCTGAAATGCAGGGCAGGTAGTGGGGTTTAGATTAGCCTTTTATAGCAAAGAGAGTTCTCAGGCTCTCAATCAGAGGGGAGAGTGAGTGACGGGCCATTCTGCTCAGTGAATATTGTTATGATGCGGGCATTAAGATGTATTCTTGGCAGAAAGGTTGCAGAATAAATGTGTATTGCAGAAGTCAACCACCAGACCCAGGGGCTGTCATCATAGTATGGCTGCCTTTCTTTCTTCCTTTCTTTCTCTCACTTTCTGCATCATTAAATAAAATAGCTGCTTGTTGAAATAAGGCAAAGACTTTTTCTTCAATGTGCAGAAATTTGAAATTTGAAGCACAATTAGTAGTCAAACACATTTTATATGCATTGATTAATTATTTGGGTTGCCATCTTTCAGTTATTAATGGGTTACTACAGTACTTATACAGCAGTACTAATCATATTTACAGTAAATATTTGAGTTACTTAATATTGGCCGTTTAAGCAGTCATAAACTTGTATCATTTAAAATGATGGCATTTTCTGTTCCTTCATACTGAAATAAAATCAAAATGGCGAGTAGAGGCTGATATTCTGCATTGGGCCACACTGCTGCTGCCTGATTTTAATGTTCTCCTCAGTATGCTGCAAATCCCATAAAGTTTTGCAGGATTTACGCCATATTCAACATTTAATACATGACACCAGGTATTAAAATACTGATTTAGGTAAGCAAGTTTGTTACAATTTATATTACCATTTCATTCGCATAGCCAAAGGAAAGGATGAAATATTCAGCACTAATTTTCTCAGCTGTGTCTGCCCACCATGCCACGCTGTATTGGGATTGTGACCTGAAATATCATTCCAAGCTAATCCAATATGCTATTTGTATAGTTTGAAATTGGGTTTAAAATGTCAGTATCACTTCAAAAGCTTAGCGGTTACCTGAATTTATGCTTTAACTTGTGTTCTGCTAAGTACAACTTTTGTCCTGTTAAGTGCAATTTGAAGAAAGATCCATTTGTGGTATCACTTTATCTTTTTTATGAGCATATTACGGGAGGAAGTTGGCAGCAAAGATTAATGCATTTTATCTTCCTGTAATAAAAATGTGAATCCCCATATTCCATTGTTTCTTCTGATACAGTTCTGTAGAATACAAGTGTGCTTTGAGAGGTAATTTAAAAAGACGGCTCGTTTGGCTAGCCTGAACTCCACTGACAGCTCATTTGCAGACTTTGGGAGCTCTGGCAGCAAAGCTTGGTCACCTTTTGTTATCACTTGAGTTCGTGCAACAACCGGCAGGGCTCTGCAACGGACCTCCGGCTGTGCTTCAGGCTGTTAAGCTTTCTTTTTATGTAATTAATATAAGAACACAAGTAGTGTTATAATACACTGCAACTACTTGAATAAGATGTAATATGTAACCGGAGTACTTTGTCTTGTTCCAACATTGCTCGCAGCAAAAATTGGGAATACAACATCCATATCAAACAGATCAGGGTAGGGCACCTTTAAAAACACAACAAAGTGAATGACAGTTATTAAAATTCACTTTGCTTCTGGCCATAAATAGTTTGCCAAGAATGTCACCAAGAAATCTATAAGACAGTTTCCATC